CCCCAAAACCCCAAAACCCCAAAACCCCAAAACCCCTTTACAATTATTGTAAATTGAGATAAATCTTTTTAAAGATCTTCCTTTTTTGACTCTTGCCCAGCATTTGGGTCTGCTTTTACTTTAGAAAAAACTTTCTTCTTTTTCTGCTCCTTCTTCTTTCCCTTCTCTGGAGTTTTTTGAGGCTCCTTGTCTTCCATTTCTTCTTCGGGTATAGGAGGCATCTTGAAGCCTTCTCCATTAGGCTTTGACATTGCTATCTCAATAAAAAGATTATTCCTATAAGTTAAATGCTCCTTGATGTATTTTCCATAATCCTGAGTCTCCTGGAAGTCATTAGTGACTAGTAAGAATCCGGTATTGATAGAATTGCCGACCATGTATGTTTCAAATCCAGCTCCGATAATTTCATTGATTTCAGGACCATCAATAGCAGAGAATTCGAAGTCTTTTTCAATTTTTCCTTCAACAAATGGCTGGTGATCGAGATAAATTGAGTATGTACCGTCTTGCTTGAGTGCCAGTGTGTATAGAAAACCGGGTCTATTTGTTGGAGGGCTCTTTTCAAGCTTCCAAGTTCCTCTTTTACCCTTCCAAGTTATTTCAAGCTCAATTTTTGTATCAGTTCCTCTTCTTTTAGGACCAAATTTGAGCCAATAAGGAGTATCCTGATTAAAGGTATCTGGGTCAAATCCATCTCCAAGTAGCTTAACTTGAGCTTGTCCATAAGAAACGCCTTTTCCAGATGCATTTAAAGGCAAGTCACCAACAAACTCAACATAAAGATCACCTTGGCTATCTAAATATGAATACTCAAATTGATCTGTGGCCAATGCATAATATTTATCAGACTCTTCTAGTTTCAGACCCCAGCACGTATAACTTGGCTTTGCAAATTTCTTTAGCTTATCATCAGTATTACATTTAATTTCGCCTTGCTCTGAGATTCCTATAATCTTTCCATTTTCCTTAATTTCCAAGGGCTCTACTTTGATCTTCTTCGGGGTGACCCACATATCCTCCATATTCACTTGAGAATACTCTTCCTTCAAGAACACTCTTCCTTCCACATCCCCCATCACCAGTGCCAAGACCACTCCTAAAATCCCTACCAGGAGAGCCCCTCTCTTCTTCATCTCAAAATGTCTTCCTAAAAAGTCATAATTAGTCACTTTTTCTACCGAAAATCTCCAAAATTCTTAATTTTCCCCGTACAGAAATTGAGTTTTTTCTACGTACAGATTTGTATGACAAGTAGAGGAGGGGGAATAGGGGCTGGGTGGGTTACTTACTGATGGATAGCAGCATTTTTTATGGAAATATTATTATTCGTGGGGGATTTTAGGAAGGGGTTTTGGGGTTTTGGGGTTTTGGGGTTTTGGGG